ATCCATATCATTTAGTCATCAGGCCCGCGAGTATGACGAATTGACATGAGACAATAGTCCCTTTTGTAAAAATTCAAATCTCCCTAGATTTACTCATCGCGAAATGGGGTTGTTCCATGTTTTATAGCATCACATTTTCAAAGTCTGGTCAAAGATGAATAATGAAAATGAATAGTGATTAATAGTCATTGTAAAAAGGCATGGCACCTGTATAGATTGATCCGTGGTAATCTAGATCACGTATTCAACCCAGCCGCAGGATGACGAATTGCCACGAATAAGACAATAGTCCCTGTTGTAAAACTAACATCCCCCTGGTAAAACACTATACATGTAGCTTTACTCATCATGCTCACGGCGACATAGGGCTGTTCCACGTTTCATTGCACTAATTAATCAGCGTCTGGTCAAAGTTGATTAATAATCAGTCCCACAAATTATACCAGTGTACATGGGTCTATTGTATTCCGCATCACGTACTCATTACGGTAGAGACATGGACGCCAACGATTTTCTTCTTCTAAATTGCAAGATTAAGGCAAATGTTCATTTTGTAGAACTCTCAGCTTCCTTTTACAGGTTGTAAATGCTTTTGGCTTGAATTTGTATTTCACGGGAAATTTGTTAAAGTTCAAAAGTTATATTAATTACCAAGACCCTAACATATTATTTGTAAATAAACCAACACAAAAAAGTATTTTAGTGATGTTACGAACATACCATGACGAACATAGTTCGCCAATTTGATTCGATTTTATATTTCCCGTAGTCATCATAATATTTTTACAATCACTGTGTTCATAGATACAATATTTTAGTATGTTTGATCACAATGAAATAGTACATAGACACAGTGTCGTTAGTAAGCAAGCTTACAAAGAAACTAAAACAGCAACAATACTCGGTACCTAATCATGTAGAACACCTTCCCTATACTGTCTGTGCCATACATTAATAAATTTCGATGGATCAGAGAGAAAATGTCTGGCACATATATTTTTTCGACATGTTTCAGACCAAGGGGGTTAAAAGATCCCTCATTTTGCTGGATAGTGTATCTAAAACTTTTGGACAAAGAAAAATGTTTCGTTCTTTCTGAAAATCAAATCGGATTTATGAAATAAATCTATCTTTTTTTTGGGAAGGGTCATCTTTGTATTTTACAGGTTTATGGTAATACAATAAATGTCCACAATTTAAAGCTGGGGCCCCATTTTACAGCTTACTTCACGGTCATTTTCAAACCTCTGTAACATACTGATCATATTTTATTATGTGTATCTTCAAAGGGTGTTGGTCATGCACCTACACCGTATACTAAGGTCTGATTGACAAAACGATGATTTGTTTTCTTCTTTCTTTCATCATTACCCTCGCGTTTCTTTGTCACTTTCCTATACGTCATCACGGTCATGGTCTTCGGAGCTTTGGGACTGCTTGATTAGAAATAAATATCAAAGGATCAAAATCCTCAGTAATCTGAACTAGGTGTCCTATCACCTTGCAAGGGAATATGGGCACCTACGACCCGCTAATCACTGTTTGTTTTGATAGGAAGTATTGGGATTTGGCCGCGTTTGAGAGGCCGCGAACTGACGTGAAGGATAAGGCCTTGTCCATATAAGTTGGATTTTTATTCTTCGATATTGTATCTTGAATATTAGGACGTTTATGCCCTTTCCACTAGTAACCCCTGCCCTGAGAACTCTCCCCCGACAACTATCCCCGACGAAAACTACATGTAGCTACCACGGGAAACTATAATATTATATACCCCTATATAGGGCAAAAACACAATAGTCCCGACAACAATCCCTAAATAAATTATCCCCTAGTCAAGTTGGAAGTATTTAAAGGGCCAATTTTCTGGGATTGTCAACTGGGGGAACAGTATCCGAATGTAGGAGAGTAGTTGTCCGGTGTTTAGCTGTTCGGGGCGATTTTCCTTGGCGGTAGTTTAGACAGCAGTTGTCTGGGGCAAATGTTTTCCCAGTACAAAGAGTAAAAACGACGTTACGTCTATACTCACGAGGGTATATCTCTAACGGTATGGATGGCACCATGATATGACATTTCGCTTTAATTCAATCATGCCAATTAGAGGTCGAACGTAGAAACATAACCTAGTTCAGATGGCGAGCTTTTAGTGTCACTACGGAAGGGGGAAAGGGGTGTCACGAGAGGGGGAAATTGAGGGTGCGGGTAGGGTGACCTTAACGAGAGGATGAAACATATTCTGATCATTCGAATATAACAGAACAAGGTACGGGTATATTTTTCATAGCAATCGAGTCGTTTGGATACACCTGTTTCCATTCTATATTAATTTAGATTTGTCTTTCTCTAGAGGAAGCAATATAAATATCTAAAAATTCTTCTGCAATCGTGACAGTCTCGTGATGAACTTCGTGCTCGTTTAAAGGCTTATTACCCCCACCAGAAGGTTCGAAAATCAGATTGAAATATGTGTATAACACTGTATACAGTATGTACTTAGTACTTAAAAAATAGTAATTATTCTAAAAACACACATTATATTTTCTTCAATGAAATAGTTGATATCGATGATGTTATAGCAAAAACGGCTTGTTCTTAGTACTACAATGATTTGAGTCTCGAGTACCTAAATGGCAATGACAAATGCTATCTTCATGAATCTGAACTTTACCAGAACTGCTTCTGGTTTACCCGAGTAGATTTTACCTTTTGTAAAGCAATTTTTTAAAACAGGAAATCTAGCTTACATGCAAGATTGTGGGCTGATTTCATGTCATGACATAATAGGTGACGTCATACTGACTGTACTGTAAATGTAGATATCTGGGGCGTTGTTTGTGCCTGAAACATGTTATTCATCTTGTTTTAGTCCTCTGATAGGCCTACTGCAAACAGGGACAATCAGATCTTTGTAATCAGTTAATTTGTATGAAAGTAGAAAAATAAGATAACCATATTGGTGAAAGTTTGAAATAAATCGTACTGTAATAACCTTTAGAAAGCGATTTCAAATTCGTTAAGAAAACTAGAACAGCTGTAGTTACAAGATATGTAACAGTACAGGTAATGTTTTACACAGGTGGGGCACAATAAAAAAAATAACACATGAAAATTGATAAAGACACTTTTTTGGCAGAAGAGTGCATGCATACACTAAAAAGTCCACCTTTCGTTATGGAAGCTCTTTTATTTTTAGTTTCTCTAACATAATTAAGGACAGGAAACACACGTGTTGGTTTGAATCTCTTTCACTATACACCTGCTTATCGAACGACATTGGACTATTAATATTTTCATACGCTACCCAAAGACGGGATTAACAAGTTTTTAAGGACGTTCAAAATCCTAAATCCATTTTACCTCTGTACAATGAAATATTAATAAACTTTCCACAATTAAAATGAAAAAATAAAAGTCTACCTTGCCAAGTAGTTCATTAAATATTCATGCTTTAATTGTAATATGCAAAACATTTTTCATCTTCCTAAGCAGTATCAACATTAAGAACGCGATAATACGTCTTGAGAAGTGAATCAATTCGATAATCTCCCTTTCCTGCTCATTTTTTTATCAAAGGTGCCTTAATTCGCTGCTCCTGACCTAATAACATTACACACTTTATTACTTGTGTCTCAAGAACAGCAAAACGTAGCCAATTTTTTTTTTCATTTGCGCCATTGTAGTCCATATGTATAGGATTCTAAAAATAGACAGTCATTTGAATTGGCCATGTAACACAAGGACTGAATAAGTGTAATTCTTATAATTGACCTAGTACTGAAATGGCTCTTGTATTTCTGATTTTTGAAAGTATTCCAACTTTTTGCAGCTGCTTGCGAGTGTCTGCTTATTTCCGATCCCAGTTTAAGCTATATTTCTGTGGGAAAACGAGGCGATTTGGGGTGAGGTCGGGGCAGGATTAGATGAAGTTGATCATGAAAAGAGGCTAAAGTTGGGTGAACTCAAATAATCGCCCTCTGAATTACCAATTTTACAGAGTTATGACATGTGCACATTAAATTACTTTACTTGCACATTATCAATAATGCTTCATATAGCGATTAAAACATCAAATTGATATGTTCAAGTTTCCTTTGTCCCATAGATGCTTCGCCCTTGAAAGATGATTATCCTTTTCCCAGATTAAGTCATCTTTTTATCCTTGTAGAAAGGAGAACCTGCTTTGTACCTCCATTTCCTGTTAAAATGTTCTCCTTTAATGATCTTCATAACATTAAAAATTGCGCCTTGAAAAAATTGATGTTTTATTTTTGTTTCATGAACTAGGTCGGCTATCAGTTACTTCTAAAACCAGGAAAACCATAATTACCCGCTGAAACAACCACATGAAATATAATTTTATGAATAATAATGTATAACAGTTGTATACTGTGAAACGAGACGTGTTAATCAAGCGGAAGTCCCTTAATACACTTTGGGAGGATCTGGGGTATCTTTTAAAGCTTTTGTTATTATCATTGAACACAATTTCTTCAGTTGCATTTTTTTGTTTGTGAGAAAAATAAATAAATAAATAAATGAAATGAAATGAAAGACAAAATCTTTGAGCCCCGTAGTTTCCGTCTCTTTCTCGTTTCCCCGAATATAATGTACGATGACTCTTCTCAGATTCGACTCTGAAAATTCTGTAATATTTTGTTTAATCGTTTAAAAAGATAGAAGTAATATATCAAAATATATTGGCAGAAGACAAGGGATGCAAATAAAGATAACTTGGTCCCTGTTTAATATAACCGTCTTGTGTTTCGACAATGCATGTTATGGTAATTATGGAAATTACCTTCATTGTCATTTCCGTATTTTTAACATCGTATAACTTCTGTTATATATATAATAGCGTATTTTATATTCAGATTTTTTGAGGAGTTGGAGTATGTTTCGTCATGATAGTAATGATTTGATAGCTATTATAGCTTATAATTTATTTATTTTCATCATTCATGTACCTTTTTTCTGCTTCTCCTTTTGTATATTCGCTACAGATGTTTTTGGAATCATTCGGTTACATGAAGAAGCACGACCCAAACCATTTAGTCACCAGAGAGGAGTTACGTCCTTACGTCGCTAAAATGCAGTCCTTCTACAACCTTCCCGTGACATCGGAGCTCGATGCCGAGACGGTGGCGGCGATCAAACGACCACGATGCGGGGTCAGCGACCTCAGCGTGACCGAGAGCGAGTTAAACGGTGAGCCCGGGACCCTGTACAGCAACAACGACAAGTACAGTCTGTTCGTGTACGCGAAGAGGAAAAAGAGATACGTCTTGTCAGGAGCGAGCTGGGGAAGAACGACTATTACATTCACGTAAGAATTATATTCATCGACATCATCCACGAGTTCATTGTCGGTATCATATTCCACATTTAGTGTCGTAGCATGGAGAATCAGGAGTGGTTATGTAGAGCTCAAATTATTAAATAAGTCTTTTTTATAGAACTAAGAATTAACGAAAGTCGAAATTGGAGCACAAATACTTGTACGGGTAATTAGAGCAAATTCACTACCAAATATATTATATACCACTATTGCATGAAAATTTTGAAGAAAAAAACAATTTTACGACTAGCAAATAAAACAATGAATATAAACTAAGAAATTGGTTTACGAGTTGCAGCATGTACGTATTATAACTGATTTAATGTTAGCCTATCAAAAAGGGAATTTTATTAAAAAATTTAAAGAGCAAAGGGCATTCTAAAAAGCCAACCTGTCTAGTCGAAGTCTTTTTCTCCTTTGCCAATTTGGCACAAAAACAAGGGTAAGGTACAAAAATAGCTCCTCCGTAAAGGAAGTGAAAAACCTATTCCCCCTAAAAGGATGTGCCTAGGGTATGTTCCCATGGCAACCAGTGATTTAAGAACCTTTAAAGATGCCAAAAGGTATATTGTTTTTTTAATTAGAACGGATGTCCCTTTACTTGTTTCGAATTTTACGACATAAAATTAGAAAGTATTTACATTTGCTGTACCATATTTTCTACAGTTCAGCTGTCCATAAATAAGGGGGGGGGGGGGAGAGAATCTTACAATTTGTTTTATAAAGACATAGGTCTTTCCTTTGCTAATATGAGCTCACCAAAGGCACCAAGTTTTAACATTAATGTCACTTTTAATTGAGCATAAAGCACACTTATCTTATAACTCCGGAAGCTAGGTATGGGAAGGAGGAATGATAGAAGAATTGGGTGCGGGGGAGGGGGGTCGACACTTTTAAAAACAGCGGAAGACAACACATCGTCAATAATCAGCAATATATCCATCACCCCCTCCCCCTTGTATAGTTTTTTTCTTCTAAATAGTCCGGAATGACTTGGTCACTGGTCAGGGAGAGGGAGGGGGTCAACACTTCCCCTGACTTGATATGTTTCCCTCCGGCGCATTAGGTTTCAAAACATTTTTTTCTACGTATAGGGCGCTGTCCCTTTCGCCCCGGCACTGTAGTTGGGAGGGGAGTATTACTCACATATTCGCCAATGTCATACATGGTGTTTAAAGGGCAGTAAACATGCCCCTGGTGAAGGTATAAAAATAACTCATTTTCCTACTGCGAGCCGTTCATGAACTTTCTGATCTGCTGGTACTGTGAAGGGCACAGGATATATCTCCGTCTAGGGAACGGAACCCCCAAGCTCTGGTTAAACATGAAGGCATGGAAAGGATAAAATTAAAGGATGCTGTTAAGAAAAAGCAATGGAACTTAAAGAGAAGGGGAACGTTAAGAAATTTAATGGAAAAAAACTAAGGTGCCTGAAAAAGAAGGAGATAATACAATAATAATCACTACGAAACTGGTGGTAAGAAAGACAAGTTACATTTAGAGTACTTAGAAAACCTCTTTTTTTAATTGTGTCCTTCATATTTCAGAGGAAATAATGTTGATGATACGTCATATTTAGAGGCTTTTAATATAATCTGTTCTGTTTAAACGCTGACATTTTCACCGTCAAATCATATTAAGATTCACATATTTCATTAATCAAGGATATACTTAATATACTGAATAACTGAATGATATCAAAATACAAAAGAACCATATAAAATCAGTCTTTGTACAGAGTTATAGGCCCCTCCCTCGCCTAGTCAGTCACAAAAAGCTGGGATACGCCCCTCCATAACCCTTTAATCGGAAGCCTACTTTTGTCTCCACAATTACATATGCATTGAACTTATCCTGAAAGTGTGCTCACGATTTCCTTTTTTAAAGTTCAGCCACTTTGTCCCTTCCCAACTATCGGGTTCCTCTCACACCCCTACCGGGCCTCTTAGCTCCACATATGTGTACGCTCAAAGTGATTAAAAAGGAATAAAGTTGTTCAAGGGAACTGGTTAAGCTCTGTTAATCTGACTTAATGAAGATAGATGATGTGAAGGGTTCAAATAGTACGTTGTAGAATAGGCGGAACCTTTAAATGAACTCTGGGTTGTCTTTGTGTGTCTTGATAATACTCGTAGGTATAGGTTTTGCTCATGTAGATGAAGGCCAATCACAGATATACCTCGAAGGTTTTAATGAATCACCTCTCAATTTCACCGATTATAGGAATTACACAAAATGGTTCAGCTTCATAATGCTTCAACACATAAAGACGATTATAATATGTGTATTTGTTGAAATTAAAACACGATAGCAATTACTTTCGAGAAAAAATCAAACCTTTGGCAGTTTCACTATTGAAATGTGTGAACATATATAATAACTTGTTACGTAATCCAAAAATGATTTCTATTGGACATACAATAGGGTATGGGAATTGCCCTTGAGTTGATTTTTTGACAACGGTGGCGATCTTGTTTTCGATGTTTAGACTTTAGTAAATGCAATGATTGCAACAAAGATTGCAAAAAGAATGTACTTTTAGTATAAAGCGTATCAATCAGGTATGACATAATTACTCCCTTTTAGTATTCAAATGAAATTACGGAGCAGAATTGGAATGAACCCTTTTTAAGTTAAAATTCATGATCAACACTTCTTGCGATTAAGTATACTCAAGAAACGTGAATGCATCGAATGGGTCTTGTAAAATATATATACCTTTTTTCTTTTTCGTTGGTCATAACATTGACTTTCGTCTGACTTGTCTATGGTCTGTTTTTGCGTTGCCAATTTAACCTCAAGGGGCCGACTCTGAACAATGCCGAGATGAAAATAGACGATGACGAAAATTGAGCTTCACATGTGTTTTTTGTAAGGGTTGTTCCATTCTTCTCGGTTTCTTGGCTACTCAGCTGAGTTGCCATGGCAACAACGAAGGGCACAAGAAATGAAACTCGGCGTAAGACTGGGTTTTGGGGGGCTTGTTCGAACGAATAGAGCTGTGCATGGACTAAATATAGACTTAATTGTCTGCTCTTTCAGCTAGCGAATTAGCTGTTCAAGATGTTTATGTTCACTTTTCATCACTCTGTTCCTTTTTGTGTGTTTAAATACATGTAGTAATACGATCGCAAGCATTTTCAAGAATCAACTATTGTTCTTAGAAATCATGTTTGAATTAAGTAATATATCATTGTCACGTTTGCACATTTTTAATGGTGAAACGCAAAGCAATTAGATAGCCACAGACTAATGTTTTAAGTCTTTGCGGTCTTTTTTTGTGTGTAATGTGCCATCTCCCTAGGGCCACGCCCTCAGTCTTCTTTCTTTCCTTAATTATCAATATACTTTTGAACGAGAAAAACAAGTCCATTATCATCCAATTTTTCATTTTTTCTTCCTTTCCCTCATTCTTTTCTCTTCTTTTTTCCTTTCTTTTCTTTTGTTGTCATCATCTATTCAGTGCGGAGCCAATTCTATCTTTTCTTTTTTAATCCAATCAGTTCTCGCTCTTATTCATTGTAAAGGGGTTTACTCACTTTCATCCAATCAGACTCTTTCTTTCATTCATGTAGATTTGATAACTACACACCGGACCTACCGATGAACCAAGTACGGAGGGAGGTTCTGAGAGGCCTCAAGGTCTGGAGTGACGTCACACCCTTAAAGGTAACTCATCCAGACAACTTGATAGGTTTAGCAGAAAACTCGTATTGCGTAATAAAACATGAATACTTGAGAGGAAGAATAGCCGAACTCCGGTTTATTAGTTTTCAAGAAGAAAAAAAACAAAGAAATCTACAAAAAAAAGAAAAGGGAACGTCACCAATAATCATTATAATATCGCATTTTCTCTCGGAAATACCAAGATCCACTGTGTTCCCTGAGTATTCTCAGTACTTGCGAAATTTATACAGACCTTTAACACATTTACATGAACTTTGATACTGTTTTCATTTGCATTGACCATCGATCTTTGATATCGTTCACATTGACATTTGACTCTGCTCTCATTGACCTTTGCAATGCTCATATTGACCTTTAACTCTGCTCACATTGACCTTTGCAATGCTCACATTGACCATTGACAATGCTCTCATTGACCTTTTATCTTTGGTACTATTGACATTGACCTTTTGTAGTTCCAAGAGCTCCGCTATGGTATGGGGGAACCGGACATCCACATTCAATTCGCTGCCCAGGAACACAACGACGAATACCCGTTCGATGGCCAAGGAGGTACCCTCGCCCACGCCTTCTACCCCGGCCCTGGTCTTGGTGGAGACGCTCATTTCGACGAAGACGAACAATTTACTGCTGGAACCTCCGAGGGTATGCTCACTAAAATCGAATTGAAAGTTCTAACATCTTTTCATCGCAGCCAGTGGCTGAGTTGAGAAAGAATAACAGATTATTATTAATGATCAAATATTACTTGATGATGATGATGATTTACAGCATCAATTTTGCCCAAATATTATATTTAACAAAAAATCGATGTGTAGGCTCCTCAATAAAATCAGGAGTTCAACATTAACCAAAATTTGAAATTTTGAGGCATGATTTGAATTTAACTTGACTGTCAACCATTGCCTAACGTAAAGAAGAATGGAGTGTTTCCACAAACAATTTTCAGCAGTGTTTGCAGTAGGTCGCGATCACATTTTGAATGAAGGGGGAGGGGCGTCGGGTTAAATTATAAAAGACAGTGTTACTACTTAAAGAATTGGGCAGCAAATGTGAATATCTTAGAAACATTTACAAATAAAGTCTTTAAATGTCACTCAAATTTTGTCCGGCACGCCTATTTAAAATGTCGAAGCGACGCCCTCTTTAAAAAGACATTGTAATGTAAACAAAGTCCAATAAAAGTTGAACCATTTTGTAATAACCTTCAAGCACATTGAGGTGGAGCAACCTTTCAGTAGCAGGGGGAGGTATCCGCCCTAGTTACCTCCTTCCCCATGAGAAAATCATGTCAACTTAGAGCTTTCCCCCACATTAAGGATTCTGTTAATTTCCTACAATTATGGTCACCATGGCAACCGAGATGACTGAGAAGAGTATGTACATGAGAAGAGTGTCTTATGAGAGGTCAGGTTTCGGAGAGACTTACATAAGACACACCCCCACAGACCAAAGGGTATTGTTGGGTAAATAATGAGCGTTACCTGTGTGTTGCGCCCGTCCCCCCCCCCCGCCTCTTCTCCCCTGAAAAACCCACCTCTTTCTCTTATTATCTCACTTATCTCTCTTTCTCTCACTCTCTCTCTCTCCCTTTCTTTACTCTCTCTCTCTCTCTCTCTCTCTCTTTCTCTATGTCTTTCTTTCTGTCTCTCTTTCTCTCTCTCTCTCTCCCCATCTCTCCCTGTCCCTTCCCCCCTCTCTCTCTCTCTCCCCCCTCTCTCTCTCTTTTCTCACCCTCCATTTCACCCCTCTCTCTTTGCAAAATAATTGCTACATGGTAACCTATAGCAAATAAATCTTCATTAATTGTAGGTGTTTTATAGCCCGAATTCTCATTTTCCACTATCACGTTCACCTTTAACCTATCTTTTCATTTTCTATTTTACTTCAGGAACGAATTTGTTTTTTGTGGCTGCGCACGAACTTGGACACAGCTTAGGATTGGGTCATTCAGACGTATCTGGCTCGTTGATGGCGCCCTACTATCAAGGATTTCAACCAAACTTCCGATTGCACGAGGATGATATGATGGCTATACAGGAAATATACGGTAGGTTTCGGATTCAATTTTGTAATAGAACGAAAATAGTCGTCAGAATATTACCTCTTGTAGTGTAAGTAACTTTCAAGTCTTTGAAATTTGAACGTGGTTAACAACATCTTTTACTTCTTCTTCTTCTTCTGGTTTCCTCCAGGTTTGGAGAACTGCGGAGTGTATCCTTCGCAGATCGAGTAAATAGATAATAGACAAGCAATACAAAACTGGGTACATCATTAACCAATTCCATACAGAAACAATGTTGACAAGCGTTCATATTGGAGCTAAAGCCAATTTTTTTTTTTAAGGACCAAATTGTTATCTAAAAAGACATTTTCATGGACCCAAGAAAGAGTCCATGATGCTATTCTATTTCAAAAGAGTATGGACAAGTGTGAGTAATAAGAACATAGTTCAATGATAGCCACGATGGCCATTTAAAAGTAAATACAGTCAAACCTGCTTTAGTGACCTCCTGTATGGAAAGACCACCCGTCTACAAAGACCATATTTGTTTTTTCCCCAGTCAAATTTGTCATTGAAACATGTACTAAAGGAACCTATACTTAAAGACCACCTGCCTATAATGACAACTTTTCTTGTCTTCCTTGGGTGGTCTTTATAGACAGGTTTCATTGTACACATATGAGCTAACGCCCTTCTGGCTCTCAGCAAGCAAACGGTAATAATAATAATAATAATTATAATAAAAAAAAGTGATGAGTCAAACAATTATTGTCTACCTTGGTAACCCTACACAGGTCCCAACCCTAACCCACCGGTCCCCACTCAAGGATACTACCCTGGACAGGGACCAAATCCTACCTCGTACCCCGGTGCTGGTGGTGGCTGGGGCGGCGGTGGCGGTGGTGGTGGTGGCGGTGGTGGTGGCGGAGCAGGTGCTAATTACTGTTCCATGAGCTTTGGCGCCGTTGCAAATCTAAGAGGCGAGCTGTATACCTTCTCGGTAGGTTTGAAACCCGATAAGTGCACACAGCATTTAATTCAATTTAATTAATTTCATTTAATTTCAAATCATTATTCAGTTCAGTTCAGTTCAGTTAATTCATTAGTCTGTTAGTCAGTTCAATCAATTTAGTTGGAATAAAGTTAAGTTCTATTGATTCCATTTCAATTCAATTCAAGTCTGTCCAATTCAATATAGAATAACAAATCTCAATCCAACTTTGGATATTTTTAAATGAGTCTATTGATTCTATAATTATTTGGTCATTGAACCCAGCCTACATCCTTGCAGTATCTTGTTGTTTCAAATTGCTATGTACAAGGCCTTATGAAATAAAATCTAAAATTGCATAGTCTTATAGCACAGACATTATTACACTAATTGATGATTGTCAAGATTTTGTTTAAATGTTTTCTTTTTCTTATTCTCCTCCTTCTTCCTCTTTTTCTATTTTCTTCTTCTTCTTCTTCTTTTTCTTCTTCATCTTCTTCATCATCTTCTTTTGCATTTTTTTAACCAACGTAACCTTTCTCCTTCCATCCATGTCTTTAGGGTGCTCTCATGTGGCGATTCCGTAATAGTCAGTTAGTTCAGGGTTATCCAGTGCGTACATCAGCGTTCTTCAGGGGCGCACCAAGTAATATTGATGCAATTTTTGAAAAGCCTGGCGGCACCACAGTCATGATAAAAGGTAGGAGTGTGATTAAAGAAACAGTTTGTAAGTAAAATAGTAATCTGAAGTTAATCCAGCTTTCTATTCTGTATTGCTTCTACTGTGTTACTAAATAATTATTTGTATTTTTGATATATTTCATCTGTTTATTATTCTTCCTCCAACATCATTATGACAGTTTCTCTCAATTTTTAAAATTGTCTCTTTACCCCGCCCCACTCTCCTCCTCTCCCCTTAATCGTCCAGGTTCACGTTACTGGGAGTACAGCGGTGTGAACCTCAAGCCAGGTTTCCCTCGCTCCCTGGGTAGGATGGGTCTGTCCAACGGTATCTCCGCGGCATTTTCCTGGCCTCAGGACAGGATGATCTACATCTTCGGCGGCGAAGACTACTGGGGCATGTATAACTACAGACAACGAGTAGATAACAACGAGTACCCCAGGAATGTCCTGGAGGATATACCTGGGCTACCGCTTGGCATTGATGCCGCATTTTCTTCCAAAAGTAAGTTTGAGTATGACCGCAAAGACTCTTTAAAATAAATCAGCCTAGGGCAATTTCAAAAGCCTTATTCATCATCTTCTAAAATGTGCAAAAACGAAAATGACCTCAACCGTAATCCCAACGTGATTTCTACGGGCAATGCAATAGAAAATTGTAATTTCACTCTTGTTGATTTCTCGAAAGTCTTTGCGATCGCCTTCTCTTGTCAATGCGCTTAAAAACAAATGATGCTCCATGGATGTTTATGGAAACTATTATTCGTTTCCAAGTGAACGATGGGCCTAAGATTACTAACACTTACAATATTGAGAGCTCTGTTATTACGTCCATGAAACTCGAACAATTTATTTTGATTTGTAAGCTAAGCCCTGTTCTTTATTTGTAAAGCGCTTAGAGACATTAAGCGCTATATAAAAACTAAATATTATTATTATTATTTATTTTATTTGTTAATGCGATCATATTTTGTAAAAATAAGTGTGTAATCGATCGGGAAAAAAAACTTTATATTATCACTATTTGCAATAGAATGGGAAAGCGGGTTTCTGACATTAAGCAGTGTCAAGTGAAGGATATGATGTTCAGATTATTGTGATCGCTAATCATTCAACATTGTTGACCAAATTTATTTGTTCGGTGTCGTCATTCGGGGTTAGACCTATACCCAATTCAATGTTGGTATTTGTGTTGTGCTTATTTCTCTCTGTCTTTATTCAATCTTTTTTTTATGCAGCGGCTTCCTATTTTGTACGAGGTGCTCAGTACTGGCGTTACGACCATAGCTCTGGCTCTCTAAGTCAAGGTTTCCCTCGCAATTTCCACAACGACTGGCTCGGGTGTGGAAAACCACAACTTCTTGTCGAGAGCGCTGCTTCCAAGTCAGGCGGAGAGGGCGCTAGTAACGCGCAGGTTCTCAACTTCCAACCAATGACGATCGCGCTTTCGGTTTTGGCGGCAATGCTGTCACAGCTTTTTATACTGAACTTTCAACGTATATGATGTCGTCTGCTTAACTTCCAATGAACCTTTAACATGTGATGAATTTCATATTATTGATTGTTTGAATATAATGTGTTTGAAGCTGTGCAAGTCATATCACTGTTCATATAAAGACAACTTTTTAGTGGGGAGATTCATGAATGATGACTGTTCGAAGCCGAATTAGTTAGTTATTCAAAAGTGAATAAATATTCCAACAGTCTGGGATTCGTTATGATGATATCGATACCACTAATTTTATTTTGGTACACAGACCCTTTACATAGCCTGTTTCAAATACACTTCTTGCATTTAACAATTTAAATAGACCTATATATTTTGTTGTTGTTGTTGATTTAAAGAGGTTTCATAAATAAATATAAAGTATGACTTCGTTAAAACTGATTTAATGCAAGGTTAGATAAATTCTTTGCAATGAAAAATGCTTAGATGAAAATAACTGCATAAAACTGTTTCGTCGGATAATGTTCATTTGCAAATACATGCAGTACGTCTTAAATCCGCTTATGCGCTACATCAATTATAACACATTATCTATCTATGCAATATACAAACGAATGTATTTCATGAGAATCATGTGCTACGTTTGGAATTCATTTATGACAGTACTTCCAATAAAACATCACTATATTACAAAAATGTCAATAGATACTTGGCAAGAGAAGCAGATTATCTCTATTTCAAAAGTATTTATCTTTTGTTTTCTTCAGGTTGTAAATATTTCACTATGATTCCTATTCACTTCACACATGATATAAATGATATTGAAAATTGAGGTGCAACAACCCTGCTAATGCTTTAAAGGAATATATTGTCACTGCAATGAAGATTGCATTCTGGAGGAGATGATTGATTATGCCATAATATGATTGAAAAGAAAAACAGTGGCGAGCTTGAAATTATTGTGATGAGGATTTGAAATTGTATTTGAAAACAAAAAAATGTGTGACTTCATTATGTATCAAAGAGAATATATTGTATAAATTACTGTCTTTCACCCGATTTAAATAAAAATACGTTTATGCACCATAGCTTCGTCATGACCTGTTATTTTTTTTAGCTTAGCAAAGCCCAGAAGCAAATCCATGGTTTTTATAAAGGGGCGGGGGGGCCTAATCCTTCTCGAAAATTGCCTTTTACATGGAGCATAGGTCTATTGTTTCTCGAAATTTTGTTTTGGCAAACGCGGCCGATTAATCCTGTCGAATTTCTGCAAATTCAGTTTGGCTACCTCCCCTTCCATGAAAAATGTGGTTAAGATAATGTCAACAATATTTGTTATTATCAAAGAACCGAACCTGATGAAGGCATTTATTTCATAACGATGTGAAACAATTCCATTAAAAAAATTCTGAATTCGATATTTTAAAAATCTTGTGTCAAATTTTGGATGATAATGATGAAGAAGGTTTTATAAATCAATAAGCTATCCAACTTCTTATCGAAGCTTACCGCATAAATCCTCTCAAAAATAACTTTCTGAAGAAGATCGAATCAATACCACTTCATTAAAATCTAAGGAAAATATTCGAATGAAGGTGACAATTTTTGACTCGTTTGATAGCAAGAAGCCTAAAACAACATATTTTATACATAATATCTGTAATTATGGTTATCTTTTTTTATTTTTTCCGATATGTTCGTGATAGTCTTAAGTGATTGTGAGCATAAACAAGATAGGGGATGAAAAGGAAGAGAAAGAGAGAGGGGAAAAGGGAGATGGAAGGAGAGAGAGAGAGAGAGAGAGAGAAAGAGAGAGAGAGAGAGAGAGAGAGAGAGGGAGGGAGGGAGAGAGAAAGAGAGGGAGAGAGAGGGTGACGAAAGAATTTGATGTAGAAAATAGCCAAAAATAATGTTTAGGCGTATCCTATGTAAATTATTGACAGAAAAACTAAAATATTTTAAGTAACTAACATAATTATATCCTAATGCAAATACTTTGCTACTTGAAATGCAGTAGCAAAAAGTAGTACAACTGTATACAGCATAGCAAGAAAGATTTCCCGAGGTTTTTCAGGGAATCTTTGGGGACTTTATGAATTTGATTCGATTCTCCAATCATCAAAGCCATTGCCACAGCAACCACGGTGTCCTGACGTCATCATCCTGCCGACTCCTTTCCCCGGCAAAATAAATAGTCAGGTCTTTAGAGAAGGGGGTAAAAACAAAGCAATACTGAAAAGTCACATGGCTGGTCATGAAAGGAGACCATGTCTATAAATGGCGGCAGGAACTTCTAAAATTACCCGAGGAGGATACACAGCGATGAGTGTACCGCAACAGCATGACGGTCGTATCCAGGATATGACGTCATTCAAAATGGCTGCCCTGATACGGTGCCTCTCATGTCATCGGGGTGGTAACGTTTTGTCTCACAGTAGCCTTGTATATTATATACAATAATCTTATACTTGATTTCACTATAACATTAAAATTAAATCCTAAATCAAATTGTTTGGGTTTCTGCTGTTGTTTTGTTTTGTATGAGGCATGTTAAGGACACTGATGGCCTATAAATAAAACAGGTAGACCTAGTACGTTTCAATTCTGAAAGTCAAATTATGACATTCACTTGCTAGGAGAAAATTGACCAATGAAAACTGTCTGGTCATGTTAGAAGGCCGGTAGTGTATCAACTTCTTTCAAAAGGTAATTTGAAGTGAAAGAGGCCATTGGGCAAATGACGCGACGTTCATCATGTTTATAGTAATACATCATCTCGTTTCTAAGCAAGACCAAAACAAACAAAGCAACAAACTAATTACCCGAGTTATTTATTCACAGTCACTTTCCTAATAAAAGATTCTTCGAAAGGTCAATGGCGGAGTTTGTTTGGAACTGATTGTATCTTATAGAATCGAAATACTATTGACACAGGCTAACAACAACAGCAACAACAATAATGATGATAATAACAATAATAATAGCAATAATTATAATAAAAATACAATTAATAATGTTGTTTACCCCTTATCAGCTTCAATTCTGTTCTTTCTGAGGGCCATGCAGGATAACATTCATCAATTAAAATGTTATATTCATTTATATACTCGGACAGTACTGTCGTATCTTGGGACTACCTTGTTGACTGAAGGTTGACAAGACCGAAAGGCCCCGAGACCGAACGTGTTTGTCTTGAGGGCCTTCTAGTAGGTCCTTTAAACTATAATCATATTGAAACAATATTCCCTCCTTTAACCCCGACCTTCTAGTGTGATAACGGGTTCCCCTTTTTGATTGGAATTCTTCCAATGTCCAGTAAGGGCGGTAATTTGACGTCGAATAAAATCACAAACTGTCAGAATTTGCCTCTGTATGTATCATTTTGATATCCATGACGCTACATTTGGCCCATCGTAAAGCTATTGTATTTTTTCTTTGTGTGTTTTCCACTATTTTCTAGAAAAATAACAGGCCTATACTTTTCAGTACGTTTTGGCAACGACTTAATGAATTCAAGAATTAATTGACTATGTAATCATGGTAATCAAACACATCACCATTATTTGTTTGAAATATCATTAATCACAATTGACATTTTATGACACATTGAAACAATATCCAACAAGTCGAAGAAAAAAAAAAATCGCTTTTGTACATCCATTACATTCAAGAGTTACTTTCCGGATTATTGTGCATGTCAGTTCATCATGGATCTAATCTATCGCTTTCTGCCCTCTTTATAGGGGTACGGTGTGTTTGTCGGCAAACTTGGTCCGGCTAGGGTTTCTTGCGTCAATCCCTTACCTTTGGCACGCGAATGTTACAAGTGTTGCACAAACTCCTTATTTTTTTCTAAAAGTTAATATTATATCTTTCGCGAAATATAACTTTAAATCATAAGCCATAGGCTAAGGTCTTCCCTTGTTTTAGAAAAATATGTAATAACACAAGTTGCGTGAAATCTACTGACACTAGGAGGTGGGGGAAGGGGGAGGGAGAAGGGGGACCGGGATACTCAGTCTATGAACATAATTTGCAATCTCCATCTAGGCAAGATATTTCTTAAAATGTTGGCGACTTCAAGGAAGAAAACATTAAAGAAATCATCTGCAACAAAAGGGTATTCCTGTAAGGCATAAATTCATCGGAATGTCAGAAAAATGATATGATTTTTTGTTTGATCGCCCATGAAGACATTATTATAAAGGTAGTGATATCCACAAGCCGATAGAGGGCTCCATCTCACGAAGTCATGGAAGTAGAGACTGCTTTGCACCAAAAAGAGACAATAGAAGAAAAAATAAATACACTACGGACATATTTAGTATTTTCAGAACCAAAGCACAAAAGGAAAGTGACTCATTTTTTGTTTGTATTTTAGACACAGGCCTATTTCAGCTTTAATCGTGTTATTGGTTACTAAGGGAATTGTGTGTCGTTAGTCCCAATTTTTCTCTATCTCTCTCTTCTCTATTCCCCCCCCCCTCTCTCTCTCTCTCTTTCCCCCACCTATTTTATCTCCTTCTTATTAATTCATAACCTCCTTTTCATTGTCTATCTCTCTATTTAAATTTAAACTTTTCTTCCCTTCGTGTTCTGTTTAACAAATTTTTCCCTATCTATGTCATTTGCTGTCGTATTTTTTTTATAAGATACTGACAGTTTACAGGCCCGTATAACTCTAAAAGAGTGAAACATTAACGTTTTAGTTATTGTAATTATCTTAGTGCATATACCAATAGGGGATGACGTATAAAGGTAAGGAAAAATACATACTGATATTTAGTAAATTGTATGCAAATTTAATACGTTTCATTATTTGTTTGTTTGTTAAATTGTTAAATTGACAGAATTACTTTCATACCTTTGTATCAACAAGTTTGGCCATTTGTCTTGAACATTGTAAACAATCATATAACCTTTCAATATAGATTAATTTTTTAAGTTTGAGAATTATACACAGATATAGAAGGGTAAAAGACGCACGCACTGCTTTTAAGCCCCCTCCATCCTCTTTTAATAAATTAACAATGCATGCACACATTTAGGGTTCAAATAACCCACCCCCTTAAACTGACAAATATGAAATGCATAAGAAAACAGGTATGGATGTGGATGACACCCCCCCCCCCCCTCCCCTCCCCCCATTTCCACAATCCTAGATCCGCCACTGGTGCTTAGACTTCACTTCCTTCTCCTATTCATTCACAATCCTACTTAATTATGTTTATGACCTGAAACCTGGCTAAGAATACCTAAATTACTGGCATTATTTATTTAAAGATCCCCTCTTGTCCAATTTGACAAGGGCGCTAATTTGACAAATCTTGGCGCGATTTTCACGCGGTTTTGCCAAGGTTCAAACCCTTTATACGTGTCTTTGTCTAGCCTTGTCTCAATAATACGTTGATTTTTATTCATATTCAAGATTTGTTCATTAAAATGCATATCATTGGTTGAGTGATGCGCTTCGTAAAGTTTAAAGTGACAGCTTAAAGTTTTAAACACAATGTCTAATTCGAATATCGACTGGAGAAACAAACTGAAAGTTTCTATACAGGTGTAGTGTTTTGGTCGCATAAAGATTCTCCAAAAAAAATGACCGTCGAATAGATTAACCCGTTGACTACTGAATTATATAGGTCCAATAAGCTTAACACAGGGACCACCAGGTTCCCGTAAGCAAAGGGTTAAAACTGATTGTGAGATCAAATTGAACCGAGCTTAATTGATTTTCATGTGAAAGGCAACAAAATTATTCTGACACTGAGAGCGCTGTCAAAAATGGTTAATCAATCAAAAATGAATCTCCATATCATAACTGCAGAAATAACAAAATGAAGGGTCGGTGATGGAGAAAACTGGCAACATAGCGATAGAAAATACAGTCGATCTATATAAACAGTAGGGTCATATACTGATTTGATTATATACGTACTCACCAAGGGTTTATACCAGTCGAATATGGGTATAACAATCACAATGATGCTGAGCGTGAGACTATGTTATTGCAAATTCACTCCTTATGACGCACTACATGTAATATACCTTGCTTCTAAAAATCCCTTTTAATCCTTCCAAATCACAT